TTAGATTGAGATTCGTTTCAGACAAAATGAAAGAACCAATATGAAGTATATGTTGTAGGGATATTATTATTTTTACAAATAAATAAATAATAATAATAATAATGCAAATTTTAAATAAAACAGTATAAAACAACACCTCCTTTAAAATAAATTAAATAAAAATAATAAAATGACTCCCAGAATGCAACAAAAACTGTTCTTGCTGGTAATACGGACATCCCGCCAAAAGACGTGAGATTCAACCTCTTCGCCCAAGAACTGTCGGAATGACAACACATGCGTAACTTCCCTCCATGATAGGACTTGTGATATTACGGAGTGACTTACTGCCTTTTATAACATGAACATTATCAGAATTCTAACGTAAAGAAAACGCATCAATACATACAAACACATAATTAAACATGTATGAAATTACCGTACAATTTGTTATGTCTTCTCTGTATTGTGTACACTTATTTTTCTTGTTTTTATCTTCATAAAAACAAGCCTAAAATTCTATTTCCACTACTCCTATGGTATGGGTGAATCCCCCACAATGTTTCAGTGGGCGTCGGATGGTAACGTGTATTTGTAATTGTGTATGTGTGTTTGTTTAGTAGGAGTTTTATATTTTGATTTGAATAAGTCAACTCAAGCAGCTAGGTCATGGGTGTGGTGATGGTTCAATTTGGTTCTAATTTATGGCTGGTCTCTTTAAGAATGTATTCTTTGTATTGGATAGATATATTAGATTCTTTAAGAATGGATTTAAAGAAAGACGACAATGTAATGTTATTTTTTAGACGTGCTTTTTTTAGTTGGTAACGTTAAATTTCCAATGTATTTTTTCTTAAAGTATTATGCTTTTTTAATTAGGGTGGAATTAGTGAAATCATGGATTTGATGCAAAACAAGAGTTAGAACGTTTATCTAAACTCAAGTCTCTCTTGTGTTCACAAATGCGGGTTTTAATCACATGATGTCTCCTCCACATAAACATTTTTGCATTGTAAATAATTTATTGGATAAATCCTGGCATTTGAATTGGTTTGGGATTTATTTTCTTCCTAATTATATCTCTGATTGTCTTGGAGGTGGTGGTAAAGATGTTAGTATTAGGGATGACTAATTTGTTTGTGAGTTTAGTAGAAAGAGTGTTTGAAGGCAGGATTATGATTTTTGTGTAATTTTTGTTAGAAGTGTTGTTGGCCTGTTTATGTATATGTGTATTATGTTTATTTTTTGGGCTTTGTGGATTTTGTAAGCTTGTCTTTTAGCGTTGAGTGAGTATAAAATGATATGGGTAGTGGAGAAGTTTGAAAGTTTTCTCAATATATTTCTCTTCTTCACTTAGATATTCCAGGCTACATATCCTAACGACTCTTATGTAGAATTCTATGTGGGGGAAGTATCACTTGATGCAAAAGCCTGCATTTATGAACATAAGGGAGAGTTGCATATGGACAAATTATCTAATTCTCTCGTTTGGCATTGAAACAATGCTGGACATAACTTCGATTTGACTAATGCCACACTAATTAAAAAAAGAACATAATTTTTTTTAAAGAAGGAAATACATTCAAAACTTAATAACCTTTTGGAAAAGATACATACTATTTCCTATCTATCATCTGGCTACTACTTTAATTACATCGCTATCTCTTCCACTACCTACATACAGTCATATCTGCCGAAACACAAACACGCACATGCATGCACGCACTCACACACATATACACTCACACACACACACGCACACACGCAATCATTTTTTCTCTTAATTTCTGCAATGAGGAAAGATCTGTTTGGAAAAGTGTCTGTAGCTTAGTGGGTTATCTGTGTCTCGGTGCATTGAAGGCAGATAGTTAAGATCATTTCTTGAGTTCAGGGGAAAAATACAAAGAAGGCAGCAAATGTAGAAATTGATTAGGAAGAATTAACATATACAAGATGTTCTCTTGGGGAGATAGTGGAATAGCAACAATGTATTCCTATAAGGTGATGAGTTCAAACGTTCCAAGGAAGATAACTGACATCTGAAGAAGGCTAGTAGGAAAAACAATCAAAATAATCAAGATGAGGACAATATTGTTGAGATTGAGTTTAGCTGTTTTAGATTTTTTTATAATAGACAATTAACTTAATTTTCTTGTTCTGGTTGACTGGGGTTGTGTATTTCTTAATAATGTTTCTAAGGGCAAATTCATCCTGCTTATAATCAATGTGTATTTGATTTTTGTTGAGGGGTCCACCCCTTTTCATACAAATGGACTCAGCCAGTGTATACTTATACTATTGCCAGTGAATACCCGGAGAGCAAGACCGTCGAGTCGAGTCGAGTCGAGAGTGACAGAGTAAAAGGTTGTAGGTAACCGGAAGAGTGAGGTAACAGCGTTGTAGGAGTCACAGTGAGCGAGCACGTAGACTCAGTAAGATGTCATACAGCTTTTACTTCAATACCAAAGACTGTATATATATTTTGCTACTAACCCGTATTCCTGGAACTACTAACCCGTTTTACCAGTTTGTATTATTACGTTAATACATTATTTTCATATATTCATTACTGGCGTTTGTTATTTATTGGTACCGGATTTCAACCCGGAATCCACAACAATTTTTATAGAAAATGTTGATATAATTGTTTTTATCTGTATGTTCAGTCTTGCTGTTGTTTAATTTAGAAAGGAAGTATTTAAAATGTTACACAACCTAAAATATGTTTGCTATGTAGATGATATTTTTATTTTAGCTAAGGATAACAAAGAAATAAAAAATCTCAAAACTACATTTGGGAAAAAAACTATGTCCTTAACTTTATGAATTTAGCAACAAAAAACAACAACAAAAAAACAAAACAAAAAACAACCCCCCAAAAAAAAAAAAAACACCCCCCCAAAAAAAAATATATATATATTCTTAAATGTTCTCGCAGAATCTAATAATAACATATTCATTACTTCATTATACAAAAAACCTACAAAATGAAACACACACCACCTTAATTTTATGAGTGAATGTCCATTTAGATATAAAATAGGTACCATAAAACATTTCTCCAAGAGAGCAGATGAGAATTATTCTTTAAAGAATTTAACATTGTGAAACAAACATGAGCTTTCAGAACTGCTTCATAGATAACCAAATAAGATTATTGGACATACCACTACATGCTTATCAAGAAGACTCACGTTACATCTCTCAGATCATACCACAAATAAGATTCCATTTGAAACCTACCAAACTCTGTCTGCAACATGCATGTGGAAAATACAACCATAATAACCTCATCCACATGTAAAAATCGGCTAGATATAATGGAAATAATAAAAAGAAAAAAACACACTCAATAATATCAACTATGAACATGGCCACAACGTGCTGACCATGATTGAAAAGAAATAAACATTCCAATTATTATAGATACACATATATAAAAATCTATGCATTCAGTTTATTTTTTCCAAAAAGTAAAACATAACTAAAAATAATGGAAGCATTAATAAGTAAAAAGCCAACACTCAGTAATATCAACTATGAACATGACCACAACATGCTGAATGTTTTTGAAAAAATTAAAAAAAAAACATTTTCATCAGATATATAAAAATCTACATATTGAGTTAAAAATGAAATAAAAAAGATCTTTGGTAATTGCTAATAGAATAACCGAAATTAATTGTCTGATTAAAAGATGAAATTCTTCATTCAAATATTTGTGAGTTTATCCCTAACTTGACATATTGAACTCTTTTCACCTTGCTATCATAATATCTCTCTATTTATCTCACCTGTTCATACACATCTATCTGTCTCTAAATGAATGAATAAATCTTACTCTCTCTTTCTCTCTAAATGCCTCTCTATCTATTTTAATGTCTTTTTCATATCTATTTTAATGTCTTCTTTACTTATCTATTTTAGTGTCTTTTCTATCTATCTATCTATCTATCTATCTATCTATCTATCTATTTTAATGTTTTCTTTATCTATCTATCTATCTATCTATCTATCTATTTAATATCTTTATTTTAATGTTTTTCTTTATCTATCTATCTATCTATCTATCTGATATCGTTATCTATTTTAATATTTATTTTAATGTTTTCTTTATCTATCTATCTATCTATCTATCTATCTATCTAATATCTTTATTTTAATGTTTTCTTTATCTATCTATCTATCTATCTATCTATCTATCTATCTATCTATCTATCTATTTTAATGTTTTCTTTATCTATCTATCTATCTATCTATCTATCTATTTAATATCTTTATTTTAATGTTTTTCTTTATCTATCTATCTATCTATCTATCTATCTATTATCTATCTATTATGTTATCTATTTTAATGTTTTATTTATCTATATATCTATCTATCTATCTATCTATCTATCTATCTATTTAATATCTTTATTTTAATGTTTTTCTTTATCTATCTATCTATCTATCTATCTATCTATCTAATATATTCTTTATCTATTTATTTTAATGTCTATTTTTATCTATCTATCTATCTATCTATCTATCTATCTATCTATCTAATATATTCTTTATCTATTTATTTTAATGTCTATTTTTATCTATCTATCTATCTATCTATCTATCTATCTATCTATCTATCTATTTGCACATACCCTTGGGTGTATGCATCATGTTGCCAATTGATTTAGCTTCCAGATGCATGTTATGATTGATTGCTGAAGATGGTAAACATCTGCTCCAACAGCTGCACTTTGGCAAGATGAAACCACTGAGCAAATGACTGTTGGCAACATAATCACAAGAGAAAGCTCTTTGCAGTCTGCTGGGAAGAAGGGTAAGGAGGAGATAGTGGAAGATGGAGGTAGCAGGAGAGGAAGTAGGATTAAATAAAGAAATAGGTTTTTTAAACAAGAGTTGCATTTTTCTATAAGTAAAAGACTTATTTAAAATGGAGAACTGAGAGGAGAGGAAGTTACATGAAAAATGGATAAGTGGGAAAGTAGTAGGAGGAGACGAGAGACAAAGTAGGACATTCAAATGCAAAGGGAGAGGGATAGGATGAAATGAAGAGGAGGAGGAAGAGACAAAAGAAGAATGAATAAGAGAGAGAGAGTTATAGAATTATTGAAGAAGAAGAAGGAAAAAGGATTAGATGAAGAAGGAAAAAGTGAACGAAAGTCAAGAAGAAGTCGATGAAGAAGAAGAAGAAGAAGTAGAAGAAAAAGAAGAAGAAGAAGAAGAAGATGGTGATGATAATGGCTTATGATGATGATGATAATGAAAAAGAAGACGAGGGATGAAACGAAGAAGGAAAAAGTAAATGAAAGTCAACAAGAAGTGGATGAAGAAGAAGAGCGATTATATGAAGAAAGAAAATTAAAATAAAAGACGAAGAAGTTGATGAAGTGATGAAGAAGAAAAAGAAAAAGAAGAAGATGATCATGATCATGATCATCATCATAAAGAAGATGAGGGAAGAAATGATGAATGAAAAAGAAAATGAATGACAAGAAGAAGAAGAAGAATGGGTGACTGAGAAGAAGACATAAAATAAGTAGAGAATTGCTAAAAAAAAAAGAAAGAAAAGAAAATAAGATTAAGTATAATCAGAAGCAGAGTCAGAAGAATTTGTTGTGAAAAGAATAAGACACGGATCGGATGAAGAAGATGGGATTCAGTTGATAAAGCAATTAGAGAGAAGGTCAGAAGGAGGTTGATGTTAAAGGTAAATGAGAAAAGAAAGAAAGGATGAACAAAATAAAGAAGAAAAAATGTCAAATAAAAAATAAAGAAGAAAACTAGGAATAAAAAGGTAGAGAAAGAGGAGAAGAAAAATAGGAAAGGTTGAAGAAAACAAAGAAATGAAAAATGAGAAATAAAACAAAAAATGATCATTAACTGCAGTGAGTGTCCATCAATGAACATTCATGAGTCACGTATGCAGATAAGTCACTTGAACTTTTCTTGATTTATTTTAGGATATTAAAACCTGTTAAAATTAGTACATAATGGCAATTATCTTTCAGCACTACAAATTTGTTTCATTTTACCTGGACACACACACACATATATATATATTGACGCATGTTTCATTGAATAATTTAGATAAGTTTTTTATACGTAATTTCAATTGCGTCCTTGCATATTCACAGACAAGCTTTTTAAAGTAAGAGAGAAAATTACTGTGTTAATACATATTATTTATTCTGAGTACAGCACAGTGTCATAATCAAGGTGTTGTTTTTTTTTAAATATTGTAGTGTTCATCATTTTCAAAGATAAAATTGTTGTGTTCATCTGAAAGTTAATTTTTTTTATTTGTGAAGTGAAGAACGCTTGTTTAGTGCTGTGCGATTTGCTCGAGTAATGCTTCACATGGAAAATAAGTTTAATAGGTTATTATATATATATATATATATATATATATATATATATATATATATATATATATGCATGTATGTATATATATTTATATATTTTGCATATGTATGTGTATATTTACCACTAATATTCTCTCTCTCTCTCTCTATATATATATATATATATATATATATATATATATGACCAATTGGAAAAAAGTTTCATCCGTTAGGGCTTTATTGGACTGTGTTTATTAACGTTGTTGTGACTACACATGAGCATAGACGAGAGACGCTGGTAGTTTCAAAAGATTTAAAACATTTTTTCTTTTTTTTTTGCAATCTAGCCAAATTAATTTATATTCTTTTTCCTTTTCTTTCCATCCACTTTGTTTTTAAATATTCCACATTGTTGCTATGATCCGGTTCCTTGTACCACGGTGATAGTCCAAGGTAGAACCAATAAAGAAGAACTCGAACACGGATATGGAATAACACAGATATATTACAAACAGGAATATATACAGAGAAGTAGAAGTGTTAGTACGAACAATCAGGTTTAGTAGTAATTGTCTGAACGCGACTCTGCTTCGGACTGCCTCTGACTCGACTGACTGATTCGCTCGCTCTGACTGACTGACTGACTCCTGACGGACTTCACTCCAGACTTCAGACTGAACTGCCTGCTTCCTCTTGAGGTGAAGTATTTATTACGTATGGAATAGTCCATTATGTTTTTATGGGTAAGGTCCCATAACAATTGTGATGACAGAAAATCTGCCTAGAATGGTGAAATGCAGTCAGAACCCGGACATAAATTTACTGTGGATGCAATGGTGATTAAATTACTTTCTAAACATGTTCGACCTATTGGATTATTTTCTCTTTAAATTAGAGTAGCATTTTTTTTATGCCAAAATTGTGGTCAGTTTCATGACGGTGAACAACCAAGCGGTTACTGTGTTGTTTTTTTTTTTTTTAAATGTCTCTTTTGTGTTCATATAGTCGTTTATTTAAGCTTTTTGAGGTTTCTCCAATATATTCTTTTTGGCAATCATTGCAGTGGATAGATGTAGTTGTGATAGATTTTATGTTAGGTTTAGATAATTTTTTTTTTTGGTTATAGTTGTGATTGTGATTAGTGAATAATATATTTTTCCTAAATACCTCTAAAACAATAAAAGACTTAATCAATCCCTGCCCCACCCCCAAAAAAAACAACATGCCAAAACTTGAAGGTGAAATTTACTCAATATCAAATTCACTAAGACAAAAATATCTAGAAAGTACTTTAATTTGACAAGATTAAAAAAAAATAAAAATTATTTAAAAAATTTTGAAACTACCAGCCTCTCTCGTTTATGCATATGTGTAATCATAATAACCTTGTCCGACGAGGTCCTAACGCATGAAACGCGTCGCAAAAACTTTTTTCAAATTTGTTATATATATATATATATATATATATATATATATATATATTCAATAAATCAAGAAAAGCTCAAGTGACTTATCAGGTTAGCTGATTCCTGAATTTCCCATCGATAACGGTCATCAGCACTAGGTCTTTGACAAATCTGTTGAACTTATCAGATCTTATTTTTATATTCTTTCCGACGGACCCTAATTCTAATTTCCAAATTTGAAATTCATAATACGCTACATTTTCGTTAGAAACATAATAGGATTTAAATTTAGAACCAGCTACGATTTTTTAAAAAATTTGCCACTATTGTAAAAATTCTAAGTATCATATAATTTGTAATATTCAAACTTATCGATAGGTGTCAGTAAACCAGAAGTCAATTGAACTTTCCTTGATTTATTGAACATTATACCGCCTGTTGGACACTTTTTAGCAGAATCTCTGCTAGCATGAAAAAACATGTTAACGTCTTGTAATTTACATGTAATTTCTCAGTTGTATTATCATTACTATTTTTAGCAACAATCAAAACATGACGAGCAGCAGCAGGAGTAGCAATCAAAATATGAGGCAGCAGCAGCAGTCAAAACATGACGAGCAGCAGCAGGAGTAGCAATTAAAATAAGCAGCAGCAGTTAAAACATGATGAGCAGTAGCAGGAGTAGCAATCAAAATATGAGGCAGCAGCAACAGTCAAAACATGACGAGCAGCAGCAGGAGTAGCAATCAAAATATGAGGCAACTGCAGTCAAAACACGACGAGCAGCATCAGGAGTAGCAATTAAAATAAGCAGCAGCAGTTAAAACATGATGAGCGGCAGCAGGAGTAGCAATCAAAATATGAAGCAGCAGCAGTCAAAACACGACAAGAAACAGCAGTTACATTAATTGCATTAACCAACAGACAGGTTATATTTAAAACTCCAAATTAACTGCAGCAACTACAGGAGAATGGTCTACAGGATTAAAGTGTTGCTTTGTGAATTTGGTGACATAAAGGTTGTGAATTCAATCCCTGGGGCGGGTAGTGTGTCCTTGGACTCAGTAGAAACGGGCGAGTAATAACTGATCAGTATTAAAATAATAAGAACTCGACAGTGGAACGAGAACAGTCTACCTCCGTCGATTGAATAAAGGTTTCAGTTCAGAATTCCATGTTGGTTATGCAATATACACCCGAAACCTTTGTGATAACAACAACAGAAATGAAGACAATGGTCCGAAAATAAATCGGGTGAATAATAAAAAATCGAGTCATATTCTTAAATATTTTCATTAGATCTAGACTGTTATGTACGGCGCTCAACTCGTTCATTGTGTCATCTATACAATCGTTTTCTCAAATCAATAATGATAATAAAAAAAATGACTTCAAGCAAATGTTGCATGATGGAGCAAATTATCATTTTTACAACTCCTGTTATTTGTCACGCGAACAATATTTTGCAGACGCATGCGAGTCCGGATAATTAAAAGAACAATTTATGGATTTCGAATAGACAATAAATATATTAAACATGTTTACAAAAATTGTCGAAAGATTCAACACAATCCTCAGTTGATGCATCCTCAGTTGATGCCACCAGTATTGCAAGAGGCAGACAAAGACAAGTGTTGTCGGTACCGTGGTAGAAGATAAAGAGAGCGAGAAAACAATCCTTCAACGGATCGTATGGACTGACGCTACAAAATCAGTGATAAAGAGCTTTAGCAAATAACAAAGACCACATCACTGTTACACTTTCAACAGCAACAAAAAGAGAAAAAAAAAATGGATAGAAGGGAAAATAATGATAAGATTAAAATGTTGACTTTCCCCGCTAAGTTGAAGAAGGTTTAGAAGGAAACTTCCATCAGTAGTAGAAAGTGTAATAACATTCTAATTTTGGGAAAAAAAACTGTTTTAAGTAAGAGATTTTATGAATTTCAGTATCGCTATTTGACTGCCGAATGTTTTCTGTATCGAAACGGCTAATTTCAATATTGCCATTACCAAATCAAAAGCATTAATATCGTTGTTTAGTTCTACTTTCAAGTGTCAAAGCTTTTTTTAAAATTACACTTACGCTTTCTTTTCTTTCTTGCATATATATAAAAAAATAATTGTGTCTTTTCCCTCCAATAACAGATTCTTGGCTTGTCCACAGTAAATTTAGTAAATAGACGTTCCCATTGTTACATTTCATATTCACAACATTTAATTTTACAATAATTTGCAAACGTTTTTGACGGCGGTTTTTTTAATGGAAAAAAAAAGTAAAATGTAAAAAAAATAAAAAAAGAAAAAGCTGTGGGAAAATTAAGCAAAATCGATAAATAAAATAATAATAATGAATAATAAAAAAGAAATACATTTTCCAATGATGCTAAGAGTAAAGTAACCGGAAATATGATTACCCTACTTAGCTTCGTAAAACGCCGTTAGACGGTGCTGTTGAAGTCTATAAAAAGACAAGCATTTTCCTGTCCCATTCTCTTTCTGACCTATTACTCCGAGGTGTAGAACCACGTGGTATTTACGTTCCCACCGAGGAAAGTTAGTTTCCCTGCTCCATTGACAACTGAACTCTTTTCTCACTTTGCAACGCATGTCACTCGCACGTGTCTTCCAAAAGCCTCTTCCTATGAAGTAAGTCAACCTTTCTCTCTAGTTATTTCAACTCAGCGGAAGGCCGACTTGAGCGTAACCATCGTTACGGTAATTATAATTAATTACTCTAACTTCTGGACCAAGAAAACGGAAATCTCATAACTATGTTTAAACCTTACAACGATAAAGTAAGTGTCAAACTTTCTTTGGTTGTTCTAACTCTGTGCAAGGCTGACTTGAGCTCGGCCATTAATACGATCATTATACTTACGTAGCCTAATTCCTGGACCAAAAAGTAAACGGACATACCTGAGACATTGAGAACTTTATTTCTCTACAATTTCCACTATAAAAAGAATAAACTGTCCGTTGTAGAAAACAATTTTTTTCATGCTTATTTTTGAAATGTTTCCGTATTGAACATGCATATACACCTAAAATACACACAGGCACGTGACCTTTTAAATTCAACTTTTGTTTCGGTAAATAAATTTTAATTGTCGAGAGTGGGATTATTAAG